GCTGCTATTGACATTTTGGAATATGTTTGTCCAGATTTTTCTTTTCATGAACAGATGTCTATTTACTAATGAGATAAGTATGTTCCTTGAAGTTTTTTTTTTTTTTTTTTAATTTATGGTTCTGCAGATAGAACCTGGGGGTGCTCTACCACTGAGCTACCTCCCCAGATATTTAATTTTTTTTTTTTTTAATTTTTAAAACAGGGCCTCACAAAGGTACCCAGGCTGGCCTCGAACATGTGATTCTTCTGCCTCTCTTGACCTCCTGAGTTGCTGGGATTACAGGCGTGCACCAGTGCGCCGGCCCATGAAGATAATTTAAAACAAAGCCTGGCTGTATAATGTTTAATTCTTCCCACCACCCCTCTCAGAAGTAATCACTATTCACAGTTCTGCAGGAACACGTTTGAGCTTTTCATATGCATTTATATCCACGAGTGGGCCTAAAGGAGGGGGTGGCATGATAACAGATACAAAGGCCAAGCTTGCTGTGACTCAAGTTCCAGCTCCAGTGATTATTGGCTGGGTGAATGTGGGCAAGTTACTTAACCTCTCTGAGCCTCATTTTCTTCTGGAAGATGGAAATCATGATAACGCCTCTTCAACGTGTTGTTGAAAGAAGTGAGATAAAGGATGCCAAGTTTAGCATCATGTCTGGCTCATCCAGGATTAACTGGTGTTATAGACACGCAGAGTCACACACACACACACACACACACACATGCACACACACACACAGGATCATATTATGCATATTATCTTGTTAGATTTGGAGGCAGAATTATGTGGAAAGATTAGTCACAGGGATCCTGAAATTTACACTGGAGTTGGGAAGTCAGACATTTAGGTTCAAAGAATTGGTTGCACAAGCGTGGGCTGGGAGGAACCTAGGTTTCCCTGGTGAGTCACAGCCACCTCTGTGATGGAGCTGAGGGCTGGCTCCCATCAATGGGGAGCTCTCACCCAGGGGACAGGACGGGCTTTCTGAAGACTGGTCTGGTTAGTTCATTTGAGGCACATCCCCTGGGCCTCTCCCTCCCTCCTTCCCAGCCTCCTATTCGTGCCTCCCTGTGGCCTCCATTTTGCCACCTGCAGGTCATTTGCAGCCCTACAGCTAGAACACAAGCTTACAGTGTCCTCAGGCCTTTTGAACAGGTCATGGGATGGGTTGAAGAGGTAAATCCCAAAAGAGCGGGTCATGTCACCGTTCTGGAAATCTGCAAATGCGACCTTATTTAGAAAAAGGGTCTTTGCAGATGTTATTTTTTAAAAATATTTTTTTAGTTATACAGGGTCACAATACCTTTGTTTATTCATTTTTATGAATAAACTGAGGATCGAACCCAGTGCCTCACATGTGACAGGCAAGCACTCTGCCACTGAGCCACAACCCCAGCTCTTTGTAGATGTTATTAAGGATCTTTATCAAGAGACTGTTCTGGGTGATTGAACCCCAATTCAATGACAAATGTACTTAGAAGAGACACCCTGGGGAGATTTGGCAGAGAGGAGGAGGAGGGGGCAGTGTCACCATGGAGGCAGAGGTTGGAGCCATGACATGCTCCCCCACCCCCAGGGAGGGATGCTCAGAGCCACCATAACACAAGAGATGAGGGACTAAAGAAGGAGCCCACAGAACGGCTGGGCCATACCTGAATGTCAGACTTCTGGCCTCCAGAATTGTGTGAGGATGAACTTATGTTGTTTTAAGTCACTCAGTTTGTGATAATTTGTTATGGCAGCCACAAGAGAAGAATACAGTCATATATAGACTGGTTAAAATGTCCCAAGAAGCCAGGTGTGCCGGGTGCGATGGCATATGCCTGTAATCCCAGCAACTCAGGAGGTGGAGGCAGGAGGATTAAAAATTGGAGATGAACCTGGGTAACTAAGCAAGGCCCTCAGGAACTTAGGGAGACCCTGTCTCAAAATAAAAAATAAAACGGGCTGGGGATGTAGCTCAGTAGTGAAGTGCCCCTGGGTTCAATCCCCAGTCCCCCTTACCACCCACAATAAAAGTAGGGAAAGAGAAGTCAGATGATATAAAATGCATATATTGAGAAGTCTTGCTTTTATAGATAACCATTTTTATTAGGTTCTTTTGTATTTTTCCAGGGTTTCTTTACCTGCCTCCTACCTTCTTGTAACTAGGGGTTGAACCTAGGGCCTTGATATGCAGGGCAAACACTCTACCACTGAGTTACGCCCTCAGCCTGCCTCTCCAACACCCTCTGCCTAATTTTATTTTTGAGACAAGGTCTCACTAAGTTGTCTAGGTTGGTCTCAGAACTTGCAACCCTCCTGTCTCAAGCGTCTGAGTTGGTGGGATTACAGGTGGACACACCCCCTGCCCCATCCCTGCATAAGGTTTCTCTATAGAGAGAAGAATACATTTTGCTTGCTTTCTCTGCCATGTTTAGGAGTAATCTTTTTTTTTTTTT